ACCTTAGATGCAAATATATTTTCATTGTCCTTCGCTTGTAATCAATGCTATTTGATGCATGCTATTTTCTTATCTGCCTGTCAGCTTGATCCATGTGGGCAGGTAAATCCACATTCCTTTGTCTAGGGAAGGCTTGTTCATCAGCTGGGTTCAAAATGTATTTCCAGCCCATATACACAACTCTATATATACAACCCATACATGCATCCTGCAGTGATATTTGTGACCAGTGTGTCACCTTACAAGACATTGTTTGGCTAGATAGCCTGACAACAGTGTGTTGGGTGTGCCCTTTGTCAGTTGACATACGGGGGCTCTTAAGGTCACAGAGGCCTTAGACTCTATCAGGAGAATGTCTTTGGATACCTTGGTATAGTGCATGTTACTTTTTACATTCCCGGGGGGCGGGGGTGTTAAAGAACATCACAGATGCAAAAAGAAAACTCTGTATTATTATGTACATTACGGTAGTGTCCAGAAAATTGGGGCCTTGTGTCACTAGGCACTGCACAGACACACAGTACGAGACAGTCCCTGTCCTGACAGCTTACGATATAAGGCCCTGATTCAGGGAAGGATATTTATTTGGGAAAGAATTGAAGTATGCACTTATGCTCAGAAGAACTGCATTTTTTTCACAAAAGTTTTGGATATAATATTCAGGAATATGTTTTCCTTTTATAACCCATTAAAGTAATCAATTAGATAAAGAGTTTACTGAGGGAGCTTAAAGGGTTACTGCCCTTTTGGTACTAGATTTTGAATCCATGGATGTTTTATCAGCAAATAAATTGTTAGCTGGAAGATTAATTTTTTTAATCCATTTTTAGCCCAGTCCCTTCTTTGCTCACCCCACCGCTCCCACACACATACTGTCTCAGCTGTCAGTGACGTGCCATTGGCCAATGTAAAATTGACAGGGAGCTCTGAAAAATGAATGGGTGAGAGTTCAGACATTGGGAATGCAAAAGGGATTATTACTATTTATAATGTCTGTTCTGGTATGCTGAGGAGCCAACTGAGACTGGCAGCCACAGGGTGGGGGAAATGGGTATAATGTGTAAGCACAGTGAACAGAGCGATGGTTTGCCAATGCCTTGTTAGTGCCACCATTTTGGTCCTTTTTGGTGTGATGTTATTTAAAACCTTTTGGGTGGGGGCTTAGTGAGGAGGGGATTAGCTGGATGGGAAAACCAACAAAAAGGTCAAGTTTGGCTTTGTAAGAGGAGGCTGTTAATCCTGACCGTAATGTTGGCAGTAGCCATTAAATAGCCAGGGCCGGCTCTAGGCACCAGCATCCCAAGCATGTGCGTGGGGCGGCACTTTTCAAGGGGCGGCATTTTTTTTTTTTTTGTCTTCAGTGGCGGCACTCCGGCTTTTGTTTGTTGCTTGGGGCGGCAAAAAAACTGGAGCCAGCCCTGTAAATCGCAGTTTCATATGGGAACCGTTAGCCTCCCCTTACGTTGCATAACACAAGGAGATGACTGTTGGAGTCAGGACCCAAGTGCACAAGCCAGATTAGACCATGTGACCTTGGGTTTCATTTCTTGATGGCTTACTGTGCAGATTTTCTGCTCAGAAGTCAGGTAGAAACAACACAAAAAATAATGTCAGTAAATTATGTATATAAACAACTGAGATTTCCCCCCTTTGTCTCCTCCCACTGCCAGCTTCCTAACTGCTTTCTGCCCCAATGCTTGGGGCAGGCTCTTCTTTTTCCTGTGTACTAAGCCCTCTTCCTTTTTCTCCAGCAATGTCCTGTTTAGAACCCACTTCTTTTGGGTGACCTCCTTACATGGGGCTCATTGCCGAGTTCTGGGGTTGTGAAGTGCTCTCCCCAGCTTCATGTTTGTTTTTGCTGGTATTACGGCCCATTACTGCTCACTCTTACTACTGGGCACTGTCCTGTTAATGTCAATGGGAGAATAGTAAGCACTGCCTCTGGCAGAAGTATTTTTCATGCATGCGTAAATCTCTTGTGAGAAAATCCTGAAACATCCGTTTTTTTCTGTGTGTTATTTTCCAGAATGCAGGGAAGTTATTTTTCCTGAAGTTCTGCCATTGGCTGATCCTACATGAAAGTTGACCACAGACTTGTGAGGTTCCAGAGCACAATTTCAGGCAGGCTTGTTGAATTGCCTTGACAGGGATTTCCTGATCTCAAATAAAAACAGCTCTTTCTCTTTTCTGTTTGAACAAACAAACACAAGTCTTCCTCCTGCCTTATCCTGTCCCCCTGCTATGTGTGTGTCTCTCTCCTGTCAGTATAGCTGATATGCAGTGGTGTCGTAGCCATATCGGTCCCAGGATATTAGAGACACAAGGTGGGTCAGGTAATATCTTTTATTGGATCAACTTCTGTTGGTGAGAGAGACAAGCTTGCAGTTCTGAGGGTATATAAAAACAAAATGCAGTTCTTCTGAGGGTAAGCCCATACTTCAGATATTTCCTGAATAAAGATACCCATAAGGAGTCATGCTTGTCTCTCTCACCAACAGAAGTTGGTCCAGTAAAAGATATTACCTCACCTACCTTGTCTCTATGTCAGTGGTTCTCAAACTTTTGTACTGGTGACCCCTTTCACATAGCAAGCCTCCGAGTGCAACCCCCCTAATAAATTAAAAACACATTTTAATATATTTAATACCATTATAAATGCTGGAGCAAAGCGGGGTTTGGGGTGGAGGCTGACAGCTCGCGACCCCCCCATATAATAGCCTTTTGACCCCCTGAGGGGTCCTGACCCCCAGTTTGAGAACCCCTGCTCTATGTCATTCAGGGAGATGGATTAGCTATGCTGGACTGTCTCCACTAGGGGGCTGTACCAGCATAGGCATTTGTAGATAAGCTCCTTTTGTAGAGGCAGTTATACCAGTGTAAGGTGCTTTATACTGGTATAGCTTATTTCGCTTTAGCTGAACCAGAATACCGATATACCTGTGTCTACATTGGGGGAGGGGAGAGGGTTCCATTTTAACTATGCTGGTGTAGCTAGAAGTGTGACAAGGCGTTTGTAACAAGTGTTCATACTGAGCCAGATCAGGCATTTCTTGTAGACTTAAGCCCATTGTCTTCAGTGGGAGTTCTAATTCAGCTCCCACTTACAGCAGTATAAATTAGAAGTGACTCCATTAACCCGATAGCATTGGACTGGAATAAAATCAGTTTAAGAAAAGAATTTGGTCCATTTGATCATGTTTATAGATGAAATAAATGGTGGTAGAAATCACGTGTTGGTAAAGGGTTTGATTTGGTGTAATATATACACCAGGAGGAGCAGGGTGATGGCATGAAAAACAGATGGGGGGGAGGGGCTGGCTTAAACACAATTTCTGTCACAATCACCACCGCTTAAATCATTTCTGGACTGGGCCCATGAGGTGTGCAAGAGAAGCAGGAGTGGATTGAGATTTCTGAAGTGCTTGGTCACACTTCAGACGGGGGAGATTAGTCAGTTTCTCTCCGCTGCTGGAACACTCAGTGTGGAGTTGAGTGATACTACTCAGGAACTAAAAAGAGGTGTTAAAGTGGAATGCATAAAAGGGAGCAGGACCTGGAGAGAGGAGGGTAATGAATGGGTAGGCGCATGGGCTGTCAAAACTGTGTCTCGAGCAAGGAAAAGGAAATTCTGTACTAGCAGGTCATCTTGATATATAAGCCCTTCTACAAGTGTATTTAAAAGGTGGAAAACTGGCATCTGTAGACAGCTAGTATCTATCAAATGCCTCTAAAGCAGATAGCTTGGTACTGTTGTACTTTTCCTTTCTGATCACTGCCAGCAAGAAAATTCTTTTCCAGGAAAGGGAATGTAAACGTTTCCGTCCACTCTCTTGTGCCACTTGCAGTATGGCTGCTCGTTAACAGTATGTCCTCCTCCTGCCTGCTAATGGATCTCACTTGTGCTAAAGTTTACTTACTCACATGAGGTTGCATAGCCACATCAACCACCCCTCACGCTGCAGTAGTGAGCTTTAATGCATATTGTCTTAACAAAACTTTTCAGATGACAAGATCTGTCCTGGTTCAGATGCCACAAGCATCAGTGCGTGATGGTGACGTCATACCGAGCCAAGTGTCCTTTCCCTGTTGAAAGGGAAATGGTCAAAAGCATGCACACCCCACATCTGCTGGAAAGTAATTAAGGAATGTTGGGCCAGGACCTGAGCTCTCACTCTGTTTCCTTTGTGTGCCTCCCACAGTGCCCAAGGGGATGGAGAGTTGGTAGGTGGGGATTCTCCTGTGCAGGGGGAATCCCCAGGTGGCATAAAGATGATGTAGACGGTTCTCTGCCATTCACTCCTGGGCTCCAACCCCCTGACATAGCAAGGACTGGGAGTTGCAAACTCGGATCTTGTCCTGGTTGGTCAAGTCACTTGGTCAAAACCTGCCTTTACCATGATGCCTACAAAAAAAATTGACAGCAGTTAGGCAGCTGGTGAGCCATGAACACTGCCTTTTATGTTGACCAGTATTGTCTCATTGTTTTCTTGCGCTCCCCTGTTGGTCTGTCTGTGGTCTCATGTCTTATACTGTAAACTCTGGGTTAAACATTGTCTTTTTGTTCTGTGTTTGTACAGTGCCTAGCACAATGGGGGTCCTGGTCCAGAACTGTGACTCCTAGGCACTGTGACAGTACAAATAAATAACAACAACTTAGGGTGGGATTTTCAAAAACTGCCTAAGTGACTTAGAAACACAAGTCCTATTGAAAGTGGTGCATGTGCTCCCAAGTCACTTAGGTACTTTGTAAAATCCCACCATTAATCTCTGTGCCTCAGTTTATACAGTGAGAATAATCATAGTTATCATAGGAATTTCATGAGGCTTCTCAGTTCATATTTGAGAAGCACCTTGAGATCTACAGGTGGAAGATCCTATCAGAGTGCTGAGGGTTTCTTTCTGTTGATATTATTGACCAATTGCATTACATCAAAAGGGTGAGCTTTTGATATATGAAAATTTGATTTAATTCATTTTTTTTCTGGGGCATTTTTGTGTAGGTCCTGAGGGAGTCTAATAAATTGGCTGAAATGGAAGAACCTCCTTTGTTGCCAGGAGAAACCATTAAAGACATGGGTATGTGAACATGGCTCTAATTGCTTTTTTTATTGATTAGACAGAATTCCCATAATCCCTAGTATGTATTGAATAGATTCATTGTCACCCACAGGCATGGGCAAGGCTAACTAACTACTGTCTGCCCAGTAGTCAAATTTGTCCTGCAAGTCGATGTCTAGACCTGTCTGTGTTTCTTTTTACAGAGACAACTGGAAAGTTTGCAAGCTTAGGGTTCTTGGGTTTGGTTTTGTTCTGGCTTTTTTTCATTCAGGCTCTTTGATGTGATTGAGTGCAGTGGGTTTGCTGGTGAATTCCATGGAATGAAATTCTAATCAAACCTCTCATGCTTTGATTTGTCTCGGGGGTTCTAAAATGGGACATCTCATAAATAACAGCATTGGATAGTTGACCTGCCATGCTAGTCTTTTCCCTCGCCTCATTCCCTTCCCCTAAAAAATGACCTTATGTAGTCTTCGAAGAATAGATCATTGCTGAAAAGCTCGTGTCCTTCCCCAAAAAACTTCAAACATTCAGTAATAATCAGGCCCTGGAGACTGACATTTAAACGGTCCTGTGCCCCACAGTTGCATGTTATTTCTCACATGTGGATAGTTGTTAAATATCTTTAGCTATTAAGGGGTTGCAGACATTTCCCAGGAAATCTAAGGACAACAACTTAGATTTCTTGGCTGAGTAGACATGCTCTGGAGAGCTCCTGGGGAGCAATTTAAATATATAGAGTCACTAGTATTTGTATCTGTTTGTAAAAGATACTGCAGAATATATAGGTTCTAAAAACAAAATATAGAAAGATGGCACATGCTATAGGTTATAATAGGGAATTACAGAATTTTTAAACCAATCTATAGGATTCCATAGCTGAGATACCTTTTTCCATTAAATGCTATTGAGTTTTAGAGTCCTTTCTGTAGACCTCTATAGGTTTCATTCTGATTCCATTGTATAGGACAGGGATCGGCAATCTTTGGCATGCAGCTCGCCAGGGTAAGCACCCTGGCGGGCCAGGACGGTTTGTTTACCTGCTGCGTCCGAGGGATGTGCAGGCCGCCACTTCTCACAGCCCCCATTGGCCTGGAGTGGCGAACCATGGCCAGTGGGAGCCGTGATCAGCCGAACCTGCAGACGCGGCAGGTAAACAAACCGGCCTGACCTGCCAGGGTGCTTACCCTGGTGAGCCGCATGCCAAAGGTTGCCAATCCCTGGTATAGGAGTTTTCCATAGGGGTAGATTTTACTTACTTTTGAAAATGTTTTTTGCCCTGTAAATGGTTTAGATTAGCTTCACTATTTTAGAAATTCTACCGAGATGCCTTTTTTCCTCCCCATTATTTGGATTCAAATATTTCCTTTTCTTTGTAAAATGCCATTGGGATCTGTAGATGAAAAACACTCTGTAAGAACTAAATATTTATTATTTTAATTAGAACTGGTCAAAAATATTCAGAATTTGCAAATTTAACAAAATGGTCGATCAGAGTTGCAGTGAGAAAATAGGTTGCAACTTTCAACAATTTTTTTTCCCCATAAAAAATTCTCTGCTCCCTCATTTACTCCAACCCCTGCCTCCACCCTCTGTAAGAACCCTCAAGTAACCAATCAGGACTCTGTCTAGCCTGTCAGTATAGGAACCTATCTGTGTAATTCCTGACTTGGCTCAAAGGGGTCAGTAATGAGCAACACAAACTGCTTCAGCCCACTCCCGTGTCCTGCCCCATCAACCCCTGAGCTTAGTGCACTTATTCCACCCGGCATCCAACACTGGCAACCTGGGGAACCCAGTGATCCCCACGCTCTTGTCACCAGACTGCCAGGCAAGCTCTCCCACTGACTTCACCGGGAGTCACATGCTGTGACAAATGGGTCTGGTAGGGTTTCTAAAGGAGGTCTGTTCTTTGCGAGCTGCTTGGATTTGGCAGCTGTAGTCAATAAGCCTTTTCTGAAAAGATGGTTTGTGCCTCTGACAACGAGGGAGTGCTGGTACCTCTCATTGCAGAGTGCTGCAAGCTGGTGCCGTTGCACAGAGCCTGCAGAGTGTTTTAGTGACACGAGATGTGGCGTGGCACCGACTGAAGGTGGGGAGCGGGTAAAAAGTCACTTAACTGTTGGCATTTTTAACTGACATGAAACAGAAGGGTTGTTAGGGGAAGTGTTCCCAGTAGAGAGCCAGCAGCACCTCTTGCCTAGAATGAATGAGAAGCATTGACCGCCTTTTCAGAAGGGGACTGTTTTGAGTATTCATCACTCAAACCAAAGAATAATCATGTGTGGCAGATTGACTTTATTGCTTAATTAAAGATTAAAATCATTGGCAAATGAACTCCTTCAGTCAGATCCACAGCTGGTGTAAACTGGTGTTGCTCCATTGGCTTCAACGGAGCTATGATTATTTGTACCAGTCAGATGCAGAAGGTCACTATCTGAGAGTTAATTGAAGGATCAGGACCTACTCATGCTAAAAGCAGCCATGGGAAAAGTGGCTTCTTGCATTTATGATGGTATCTGAATTGGTATCACAGCACTGACCAGGATCCATGCTTAGTTTGATGCTGTTTTTTTACACAACGTTAACTATTTGCCCTTCAGGGCAGTAACGATCTCTTTTCTATGTTTGTGTCACGTCCAACACAAGGGGGCCCCCAGTCCTCATTAGGGTGTTTAATAAACTTTAATAGTAATAGGTTTTTTTAATGAATCAACTGTGTAACCATATGTAACTTCTGGTTTCTTCTCTTTGTGAACTGTTGTTTTATTTTGTTTTCCCCCCGTCTTTTTTCTAGTTATAGAATTTACAACACATTTCATCCATCTCATCATGTGCACCCATACAAAGATCAAAGGATTGATTTTTTTTTTGGATGTGCTAGTAGTAAAACAAATATCTCTTAAAATTGCACGGTTGTTCCATAAGGTTTCTATTGGTGTTAGTGTGGTGCGTGATTTGTGCTAAAACTTAGAGGCTCTTTCCTTTGCAAACTTCTACCTTATTTCTGGATAAGCATTGACTAGACAGTGATATTGAAAGCAATGTGTGTAACCTAGAGATGTGCTTATGTGGTGGTATTTGTATGCAGGTTCAGTTTTGTACCGGAGCACAAATAGCCTTTACTTTGAACCCTTACTTCAGGGGTCCCCAACGCGGTGTCCGCGGGTGCCACGGCACCTGCCGGGGCGTGTAAGTGCGCCCGCGTACTGGCCGGTGGACGAGCATCCGCCGAAATGCCGCCGAGAAGCAGCGTCATCCAGAGGCGTCGCTGCTGAAATGCCACCGATTTTCGGCGGCGTTTCGGCGGCAATGTCTCTGGATGCTGCTGCTTGTCGGCGGTGACGCCTATTGACGTTGCCGCTTGTCGGCGGCATTTTGGCGGATGCTTCTCCGCCGCCACGTCCTCCGTGGCTCGTCGTCTGGCGCCCGCTGGGGACCACTGCCTTACTTTATAACAGTAATGGAAATTGCATTTATAATTCTGGGCAGGGTTGTGCAACCCTTGATCATACCTGGGAGCACCTGCTCATGCAAGTCGTGCCATTGATTTCAGTGGGGCTTCCCATGTGAGTAAGAGTCGCAAAACTGTAAATGTAAGTTACTACTATTAGGTTTTTGCTCCCATAGATTAACCTTAAACTTGCACTAGCTGCTTTTCTCTTTCTTTCACTTATTAGCCAAAGATGTGACTTACATCTGCCCGTTCACTGGAGCTGTAAGAGGAACCCTGACTGTTACAAACTATAGACTATATTTCAAAAGCATGGAAAGGGTAAGCTTTGTAACCATTTAATTCCTTGGTCTACTGTATGTTCTGAAGCGCTGGGCTCTCCGTTATGACTCTGTATAAATAGCGGTTATATGTTTTGGTGGTTGGTTTATTTGTTTTTTCCTTTTAAACTAACAAATTTCAACGGTCTCCAGGACCCACCGTTTGTCCTAGATGCTTCTTTAGGTGTGATCAACAGAGTGGAGAAAATTGGAGGTGCTTCCAGCCGTGGTGAGAATTCTTATGGACTGGAGATTGTATGCAAGGTAAGTGGGCCTGGGGAAAAGATTTCTTTTTAAAGAAGGTGTCCCCCTGCCTGGTATGGGACACAGGTAAGAGCGCCAAGCTCAGACTGCCAGAAAACAGGGCATGTTCCCCAAACTGGTGGTACACCCTATAATAAGATTTCAGCAAGCCTGTGACAAATGTATGCTTCCAAAATACTATATTAGTTATTATGGAGCCACAGACAGTTCCCTTCAGGCCCTCCAGCCCCTTATGCACCACCGAGACTAACCAGACTTCTGTGATAAATGATTATTAAAACTAGAAATCACATATATTAGGTTCGTCCAGTTCCAAAGAACTAGACACCCACCCCAGGTCAAAATATACTTCAGATCTTATCCAAAAACCACACTGGTAGCTAATCCTTTAGAAAACTAAAGGTTTATTAATACAAAAAAAGGGAAGAGAGTTATTAAATACTTAAAGTGAATCTTATACATCATAGTTGATTTCAGAGTTTGTAGACCAGGATAATAGCAGTGATGTTAAATCTGCTATCTTGTAATAAGTCTCTCTGCATCACCCAAAAGATCGGGGGTCCTCAGTCCATTGTTCAAAGCTTCCCTTTGTTAGAAATCATAATCCAGAAAGGTGGAGCAGGAAAGAGGCAAAGAGGTGGTGTCACAGTCTCCATTTATATCCTCAGCCAATGTGTATGGAAAGTTACTGTCTCAAACATGGAATCAAGGATCACATGTTCTACGTGCCCTGCTGAGTCACTGGGCCTCCATTGTCCATTGCTCTCTGAGGCGTTCTCAGGAGGGGCTCACTGAAACAGCTCTTACAGGGGAGATTGTGTGTGTGAGAGAGAGAAACTGACTCTGTAGGCCAATCCCGTGGGATGTGGGCGATCCAGGTTCAAGTACCTCCTCTGAGTCGGCGTATTATGGGATGGGTTTTGACCCGAAATTCCATCCTGGACCCAAAAAACTTTCCCGATGAAAGTTTTATCAAAACCGATATATTTCCATGAAAAGTTTTGGTGTCAATAACTCAGCATTTTCCAACAAAAAAATGATTAGTTGAAAAATTCCCTACCAGCCCTAGAGAGCACACGAATCTCCTTCCAGATCATTAACCAGTCTTCACCTCTTGTACATAGTCCATGGCAAGGGAAGGACAAGGGGATCCAGGGCCTTTGTTGAATGATTTATTTATTTATTTATTTCAATTTAATAAATTCAAAAGAATACCCGTCCAGCAATCTTGGATCAATTAACTGTACAATCTTAATACAACCAGCATATTATCCCCTAACATCTAGCCACTACTTAACCAGTCCACAAATAAATAAATAAAGCCCCTACCTAACCCCGGCCAGCCACCATAAATGATTGCACACAACGGCAGATGTTGTTTCGTGCCCAGAAGATCATCAAAGCTGGGCTATGTCAGACCAAGGTAGGGAAGGGGAAAAATGAATTCCAAAGGCAACACCCTAGCTGTAGTTCCTTCCCTTATACAGCAGGGGAGCTCGGGCTCAGGCACCCCTGTTGGCCACAGCAGTGGTCGTATTCTATGGGGAGAAAGGCGGTTTCTGAAGTAAACTGAACTCAGGCCTTTAGGACAAGGCCCAGGTCCAAGAGGAAAGGATACTACAGCCTCCTGGACAAATGATTGGAAAAAAGGCAGTCCTGGTCTCTGCTACTGTTTGAGCAGCTGGGATTCTATCGAGACTCCCAAACTGTGAACATGCTTAGTTGAGGGAATTGCATATAATCTGAGACAAATCCTCTAGTTGCTTCCTCAATGCACCATAGTTGTTGTCTTCTCTGGACACTATGTCTCCTGAAATTTACTCTGTGTGAGAAGCAGGATCCAGATCCAGGCAAGGCAGCCGTCTATTTTCTGTAGCTGTTTCTCTCGTTTTTTCTTTTGGCCTGACTCCTCATACATGAAAGAGGGATATTCATGTATATGAACCTTCTAGTGTGACCACCATTTTCCATTGGTTACTAAAGGCTCTTAAATTGTTTACTACAAATCTCTGTGTTTTGGGTGAGGAGTTTCTCCCTTTTGGGTAAAATGTAGTGAACCTGGCTTCTTCTAGCTTCAGAATTTTGGTTTTGTAGGAGAGTACAAT